CCCGCACCCTGCTCTGCCCTGGCCCCGGCCCCACCCCTGACCCCAGCCCTGGCCCCGGCCTCGGCCTCCAAAGTGTGGAGTGTGTCACAAGTCATCTTGTTCATGGGAGAAAGTTCTAGCACTTGCAAGGACCACAGAGTGGGGTCAGCTGGCTGCCACTGCACTCACTGTCCATCCTGATAGACCCAGGGTGGGGATGGGAAGAGTTTACACACACACTCACCCCATCCTTCTTTGCCCTGCAACCCCATGGACCCCAGTCACTAACATAGCAGCAATACATGTGAGCTACATAGTTTTCTTCCCTGGGAAATTTAAGTCCCCTGTGACGTCTTTGGTCCCCCTGGCCAGTAGCCGTCGGTCAGGCATACATGTCGTCAATAGCCCACACAACTGTGTGTGCACCTGAGTGTGTGCGCGCTTGCCCACAGGGCTCTGCTGGAGGGCGCCAGCACTCGGCATTCCCACAGTTTCCTTTCATCCCACTCCTCCTGTCCTACAACCTCACGGTCTACCCAAGCCTGCTCTCTCCCCGGCTCACACCGACAGGCCCTCAGAACCCCATTCCAGAGCCTTCCTTAGGCAGGAAACCTGTGGCTATCCCTTCGTCTGCCTTCAAAGACAGGGGTGGTGCCCCGCCAGGCCAAAGGGGTGAGTGGCTCTGGAAAGCCCGGGCTCCCGCTCTGCTCTGCTGACGGATCCTCTAACCTTTGCAGACTTATTTCCACGGGGAGCCCATCCCTGTGACCGTGACCGTGACCAACCACACGGAGAAGACAGTGAAGAAGATCAAGGTGATAGGTAAGAACTTCTCTCAAAACTAGAGGGCAGAGGACCACAGGATTTCTCAGCCGGGTCCTGCCTCCTGACAATCACTCCTGGTCTGATAAGGCCCATCTGGGTTGAGCTGCCCGTTTGTCTGATGTCATAGCCAACAGGACCCTAGAGGGAGAAAGACCTTAAGTCCTCTCAGTCAACCTCACGATCCCACAGGGCAGCCTTTTGTCTTAGGACAACATCCCTGACCGGTCATCTCTCTGTCTCTCCACGGTGGTGCCTTCCGGAAGGGCCCTGCTGTGCCAGACCCCACGGGAAGCCAGAGCAGGGGTTTCCCTCTCGGCTCAGTGCAGCGGGAGAGGCACAGGACGGAACACACAGCTTCTCTGTGGGCTTGTGCTGTCCGGGCCGCCGGCCTCCCCAGCTGTAGCTTTGTCCCGGGTTTATGAGGCTGCAAGGGGAGGTCCCATGTGAAAGTGCCGCGTCAATGGCCAAGTGCAGCTGTCTTGCCCTGCGGGGCCCACACCCTGTACTGCAGAGGAGGGGCCTCCTGCTGGCTGCAAGGCGTCACAGTGCAGGGATCTCACGTGGGGGCTTGTGTGGGCCACATATAAAGCATGACAGAGTGACCTACGGAGGGAACCAACCCCTGAGCCCAGCGCTTAACGTGACCGTATGATGGCCGAGACAAAGTCGGACTGATGGTGGCTCAGGAAGCCCAGGACTAAGGCTATGGACGGAATGTTCACTGCTGAGAGGGCAGGTCTCGGTCACCCCAGGTGTCCGCTGTGGTCTGAATGTGTTGGAGACTTAACTCTCCAGTTCCTTTGTTAGTGGTATTTGAGGGTATTTAGGATTAGCTGAGATCGATAGGGGGATGGCATTGGTGGCTCTACAAGAGGGAGGCCCAGCACACCTCCTGTCTCATCAGGTGACATCCCCCACCGGGCCACAGCTCAGTCAGGAGACCCTCACCGGAAGCTGGCGCCCTGCCCTTGTACTTCCCAGCCTTCGGGACCACGAGCCAAACAGACGCCCGCTATTTACAAGGGGCCCGGTCTGGCTAGTCAGCTCTAACCACGGGAAACACACTCAGTGTCTTATGAGGGGTCTCCAAAGTGGTCGCAGAAAATGCATATGCTGAAAACACTATGCTTAGATTTCACAAGTTTTTTTTACACCAAAATACACTTATCTTTTTAAAGTTTTTTTTTTTTTTAAGATTTATTTATTTGAAAGGTAGAGTGATAGGGAGGCAGGGAAGGAAGGAGGAGAGGGCGCGAGCGGGAGGGAGTGCCTCCATCCGCTGGTTTACTGCCCAAACGGCTACAGTGGCTGCAGCTGGTCCAGGCTGAAACCCAAGAGCCCGGAACTACATCCGGGTCTCCACGTGAGCGGCAGGGGCCCAAGCCCTTGAGCCATCTTCCATGGCTTTTCTAGGCACATTATCAGGAAGCCGTATCAGAAGCTGAGCCTCTGGGACTCGAACCAGTGCTCAGATGTGGGATGCGGCATTGCAAGCGGTGTCTGGAGCTGCTGCACCACAGTGCCGGCCCCTGGAGCTTCAGATTTCAACACAGAAATTCCGAGGGGATAGCAGCAGCACTGAGAAAACATCCTCTGAAATTCTGATTTAAAATAATTTCTCAACGTTTTGCAAATGCAAACAACAAAGCCACGAACCTAAAAAAAAAAACCTGTTGAATATTCTGAGACAAAATGCGCTCAGCTTCCTGTAGGCTGGGCTCTGTGCCAGGTACTCCTGACACATTGTTCCTTTTGATCCGCCAACCTGATGGTGAAGGAGATGGGAAGTCCGCCCCCGTGAGTTCACTGCACTCACCCTCACTTTGCCGGTGGGGACACTGAGGCGGGGGGGGGGGGGGGTGCCAGATCCCTCACGGCACAGCTGGAGGCAGGGCAGAGATTTGAACCCAGGGAGTCCAGCCCCAGGGCCCGCCTTCCTGCCCGGCACACTGCACCCATGGATCTCTCCTCTGCTGCCTCTGGCTGCTTTCTGCTTGCAGAACCGGAAGGCTCATGCTTGTTACAGAACCCCGGGGGCATTGGCAGGGGCTGGGTTTAGAGAGAGAGAGCCCTGGAGAGTTCTGGGACGCCAGGAGACTGCGTGCACACCCAGGGCTCAGAGGAGAGGCGGGGTCTCCCCCGGGGGCTGCTGTCTTAGAGACTGGGTCATGGGCAGGAGGTGACACAGAACAAGTTGCCAGGGAACAGAAATGGCTCCAGGACGGGAGTTGGAAACCACAGGCTCTAAGCTGAGGGCCGAGAAAGCTGAGCCCAGGAAGCATGGTCCCCAGAGGGAGGCGCCCAGCCGTGTGTCCTGGAAGGCCAGGGCACCAAGCGTGTGCATGGGGGGACCTGGTGCTGACCACCCGACCCTTGTCCTCTTTTGCAGTGGAACAAGTGGCCAACGTGGTCCTGTACTCCAGTGATTATTATGTCAAGCCCGTGGCCATGGAGGAAACACAGTAAGTCGTGGTGGCGTGTCCATTTCCTGAGCAGCCCAGCCTTCCTGGTCAGGTTCCTCTTTTGTTCCTTGCCCAAGAAGGAACTAGAACGCCCAGCGAGCCACTGGCTGTCCACTTCCTTCCCGCGGCTCGCTTCAAGGCCCACAGAGAATTTAGCGTCCCAGCTCCGGATTTGCTGCGTCCCCATGCCGCCCACCTCCTGGGAGTTGTGCGGGAACAGCAGAAAGGAGAGAGACAGATGGAAGTGTCACCGTGGGAACAGCTCGGCCTTTCCACTTGTCCCGGGAACGAGCTGGCAGGAACCCGGCACTGTCTGTGCCCCTGGCAGGGGCTCCCGGGAACTGTCAGCCCCACCCCGATGCTCCCATCTTTTGATCTCCTCAATTCCAGCATCTCCCGGATGAGAAAGATCTATTTTTAGCCCTTGTTGTGAATGACTTATCTCCCTGCATTAGAATCAAAAACAACAAACAGGAATCCTGCAATGGCTCCCACGTGCAGCCGTGAGAAACCTGCCACTTTCCCCATGCTAGGAAGTTGGATTCATCTACTGGCCGGGCTTGGGGGGAGGGCGCCTAGGCCGCAAACCCTGGGGAACTGCTTAGGAAGGTCCTTCCTTTCTGTCTAGAGGGCATGTTCTGAGCAACACCCTGGGTTGGAGGAAGGGTGGGGCAGAGGAGAGACTGCTTGACGGAGATGGTATTATATAACCTTGAGCTGAAATGCAGGTCTACAGCAGAGGGAAGTGGGAACGAGACACAGCTCATTGGCCGCCTCCTAAATGCTGGGCCTGGGGTCTGTATCGCCATTTAGCACATCTTTGCGTGTCCTTGAGCCCAGCGGGTCCTGGCCCTGGCTGCATTTGGAGTACGTCCTCAGTAGAGATGGAACAAGTGGTCTGGCTGAGTTTCCCCCAATGTGTGCACATGTATATGCTCCCACCCCGTTTTAAAAAATTTACTTATTTGAAAGGCAGAGCACCAGAGAGAGAGAGAGAAATTTTCCATCTACTGGTTCACTCCTCAGATGGCCACAATAACTAGATCTGAGCCAGGCTGAAGCCAGGAGCCTGGAACTCCATCTGGGTCTCCTTCCATGGGTGACAGGGGCCTAAGCACATGGACCATTATCTACTGCCTTCCCAGGTGCATGGACAAGGATGGAGCAAAATTGAACAACTGGCACGCCAAGAGGCGATACTGGCATCTCAAGTCGCGGCTTAACCTGCTGTTCCACAATGCTGTCTCCGCATGGCCCTCTTTTAAGTTCTTGGGTGTGTTTGGGGCCAAATGATTCCCAGGAAACTGAAAACCATGCTAAGATCCCCCCACCCCGATCCCCGGCCAGACTTGAGGGGTGACTAGGAGCTGGGCCAGAGCATGCTAGGGAATGTCAGATGAGAGGTCACTCAGAAGGCTGCAGAGCACAACCTGTTGTCCCAGAACCCCACGGTTCCCAAGATGGGCAAGGCCTGCTGCAAACCAGCTGCCACCGAGCACCCAGTCCCAGGGCCGTGGCCCGCTCTTCGGACGAGCTCTGCTGCACGAAAGGCCGGGATCCAGTCCCACCTCCAGGGACCCCTTCCTCCTCCAGTCACCTTTAAACGCAATGTCTGCTTTCGCCAGTGCTTCTGCGCAGTCCAGCTCGTTAAGAGCACAGATGAGAGGATGTGGGCTACCTTGGGCTCCAGCAAAGCTCTGTAAAGAGCTTCCTGTACGCACTGGAGGCAGGATAAACCACAGCTGCTTCGGCGCCTGGGGAGGTCCACGAGGGAAGTCCTTCCCCAGGGAGGCAGTACAAGCTTCCCGCTGTCCGGGAACTGGCTCAGGATGCTGCTCCGGCCGTGTGTGCTGGCCCGCCCCACCTTCTGGCCCGGACAGAGGAGGCAGGGTGTGGTGCGCATAGGCTCTGCAGGGAGAGTCCATGCAGCTGTGCGGCCGAGGATGAGCTGCGAGGCTGAGAGGGTGGGCCTGAGCCTCTGGCCTTGACGTGGTGCGTGCATGGATGGGGGGGCCCACTCTCCGTCAGACCTGGCTTCCTGACCCTGGAGATGCTGCCAGACCTGGGGGAGCCCACGCCCATCCCTACCCCCACTAAGGCCCAGGCTCCCTGCCCCCTCTCTCTGTTGTTGGGGAACCCGCAGCCTGCTGAGTGATAGAGGAGATGTGGGGGAGAGTGTGTGCCGCTTTGAGGTGCACACAGGAAGGTCTCCGCCTCACCCTCCTGGGGACCACTCTGATCCCCCAAGAGCAACCGTATTCAGCCCCTGGAGACTCCAGCCTGGGCTTGTTGCTGGCACCCACCAGAAGGCTCTGCAGCCCACTGTGCAGCTCACGACGTCTCAGAGGCTGGCTGTGGCCTCTGGCCTTACGCGATTGGTTTCAGCCACAGAACACTGTAGACATTCAGTAACCCAGAGCAGGCCAAGAGGCCTGAGGACGCTGCTGGCCTGCCCTGAGGACTCGCGGACGCTGTCTGCTCCACTCCAGGTGGTCCCAAGGCCCCTGATTCCTCTCCCCAGGAAGCCGAGAACGGAACTCGGAGCTTGGAAAAAGCCCCACGGCAAACCAAGTCTCAGAGAGTCGCCGGCGGCTTTTGTGGTTATCAGTCTCCTGTCTGTTCTTCTTCCTGCAGAGACAAAATACTGCCAAGCAACGCCCTGACCAAGACGCTGACGCTGGTGCCCTTGCTGGCCAACAACCGAGAGAGAAGGGGCCTGGCCCTGGACGGGAAGATCAAGCACGAGGACACCAACCTCGCCTCCAGCACCATGTGAGTCCTCGGGCCACCGATGGCCGGGGGCCTGCTCCAGCCAGGCTGGCCGGCTCCGCCCCACTCATCTCCTCACCCTGTGGGCTCACAGGCACACCAGCAGGGCCCCACTCCCGCCCCTGGAACGATGAGGTGTCACACCTGTGGGCTCTGGACGCCACCTTGCCCTGTGCCAATCCCCACTCTGCTGGCTTCCCTCTGGCAGCTCCGGGAAGCTTTGTTCTCCCTTCCACGAAGTGGGGCTGATGGTAGTGCCGATCGCACAATGTGGTGGAAGGGCCAAGGAGCTGCTCCCCAGGCGCTGGCCGCGGCTTTTCTACCACATCGACAGCTGGCATGGTGCCCTGCGTACATAAACTGGGTCATGCAGTTGGCTTCATTCATTCGTTTCCATCAGGAAGGGGAAGGGGGGCAGAGATTAGTCCAGGGAAGATAAACACGGACCTGCGGCTGGGTTCCGGTAGCAGAGCTGGCAAAGGCCGTGCCATGGAGCTCTGAAGTGGGCATCCATGGCTGCTGTTCCCCGCCACCCTGTCAGGCTCCCGTTCACGTGGCAGAGCTGGGGACCCTGAGGGTTCAGGGAAGGAGCCGAGACCCGGGCTCAAAGCCTGCTTGTCCCCCTCTCCCTGGTGACGAGCTGAGGGCTCCCTCCATGGCCCCAGATGACCACCTCTGAGTCTGGTGTGTTTGACTCTGATGACCCCTAGCTCAGTAGCTCACATTCTGCGAGACCAAGGGTGGGGGACGGAAAGCAGGTGAGAGCCAGAGGACTTTCTGGGGACAATCTGCAGGCCATCGTGGTGGGTTCTTGAGCAACGTTTGAGAAGCCGAGAAGAGCGAATGTCAGGGACGCTGACCCCGGGATAAGCTTGTTCAGGGCGGAACCATCCCAACGCGGCGCTGCAGAAGTGCTGCCTGGCTTATGCCCCCGGCTACAGGCCTGTGTGCGCCTCCACACCTTGTGAGAGAGGGGTGTTTATGCTCACTTATGGATCCGGAAGTTGAGGTTGAGCCAGAATGAGGGGCTTACCCAAAGTCACCGGGTCAGTTAGTGGTGGAGAAAAGGTGGCCCCTCCCCAAGTTTCCCACTCTAGGAGGGTGGGGGGCAAGCTCCCTCGGCATCTCAGGCTCATGACAAAGCAGGTCCTGTCCCCAGCCGTTAGGCCCCATTCAGCACAGGTAGCGTCAGCCCCAGGAGAGGGTGGGCTCTCACACCTGCTCCCCTACTTCTGCCTTTGCTGACAACCTCTGTCTACCAAGCACTTGGCCACCGCCCACAATTCCACATGAAGCAATTTCGCCCTCTGATAGGGCTCTCCAGGGTTCTGTGAGCTGCTGGTGGTTCACTGTGCTCTCACTTGGCACGGGCGTGGTGCTGGGTGGTGGGCACATGGAGCTGTCGGGGACAGTCAAGGTCCATCATGATCCCCTTTAACCAGGGCTCTGTGTACCGTGTCTGTGAACAGAGTCCAGGGAAGCGAGGCCCAGTGCTACCTGGCAGGTGTCTGGGAAGGCATCACAAGGCAGAGGTGGGGAGGGGGCTTCCACTTGAGGCCTTAGGGGCAAGAGACAAAGAGGAGAACATTGTGGAGCAGGTGAGTGTTTGGCAAGGTTGGCACATGGGGTTCCTGGGGCAGAATCAGTATGAGATAGCAAAGGCAGGCCAAGGCCAGCTCACAGGTTATCTGCCAAAGCGTGGCTCTGGGACAGCTTTAGGTGGCAGAGCAGCGGGAGAGTTCAGAGAAGGGGCTGGCACATGGGGGATAAGTCACCGAGATGCTCCCGTGGCTGCCAGCGATGGCGGATGTGGCAGGCAGGCCACAGGGAGGAGCCGAGGAGGATGAGGTTTGAGCTCAGACGGCCAGGTGTGCGGGCATCAGTGGAGGTGGGACATGGAGCAGGAGGGAGTAGAGATGCAAGGGTTCCTCCCACCTGGCAGCAGCCTCCCAGCCCGCGCTGAGCGCGTGAAGCTCCAGAGCTCGGCAGCGTGGCTGAGCTCACCAGTTCTGGAGGAGATGCCTCCGTGACAGTGCTGGAGGGAGCTGAGAGTGTTCCTCTGTCTGTGTCCCCCCGCATTCTCCTCCTCCCTTTCTGTCTGGACAGCATTAAGGAGGGCATAGACCGGACCGTCCTGGGGATCCTGGTGTCCTACCACGTCAAGGTGAAGCTCACGGTGTCAGGGTGAGTGTTCCAGTGCCACGGCTTGGTCTGCTCCGTGCTTTTTTTTTTTTTTTTAAAGATTTATTTATTTGAAAGGCAAAGTTAGAATCTTCCATCCACCTGTTCACTCCCCAGGTGGCCACAACCACTAGGGCTGGATCAGGCCAAAGCCAGGAGCAAGGAACTCCATCCAGGTCTCCCATATGGATGGCAGGGGCCCAAGTACTTGGGCTACCTTCCACTGCTTTTCCTGGCACGTTAGCAGGGAGCTGGATCAGAAACAGAGCAGCAAGGACTTGCCCAGCATTCCCGTATCGGATGCCAGCATCGCAAGTGGCAGTTAACCCGCTTCACCACAATGCCAGTCCATCCTCCTCCCCCATTTTAGTTTCTATTTATATGGAGGCAGAGAGATAAAGAGGGAGACAGAGACAGACATAGAGATCTCTCCCATCTGTTGGCTAACTCCCAAAACGCCCACAGCAGCCAGGGCTGAGACAGAACAAAGCCAGGAGCTGGGAGCTCAACCCGGCTCTCCCATGTGGGTGGCAGAGACAAACCCCCGGCATCATCACGTGCTGCCTCCCAGGGCGCACGTTAGCAAGAAGCTGGAATGGAAGCGGAGCTGGAACTCCACCCCAGGCACCGTGACGTGGGATGCAGGCATCTCAAGTGAGATCTCTAACTGCTGCGCCAGACATCAGCTCCAGAGATCCCGTGCATCCGGCTCCGTGATTCTGTTTGTGAGACTGATGTGATCACATCACTCGGCAATCTCTTCTTCATACAAGAACGCTCATACTGAAGTGCCTAGTTCTAAGGAAATAGTTTGCCCTTTTTTTTATGTAATCAATTCCTTCTATTGCTTTAGTCTCCGTTGCCATGGACTCTGGCCTTTTACCTTGATGAATCTTGGATAGTTGAGCCGTCCAAGGCAAGCCATGCATGTATGCCTTCCACGTTTTAAGTAGGGAAAGAGTTCTCCAAATTTTGGCCAGGGAAAGAAAATTGAGCATTGGTCCATTTTGCCTGTGGAGGTTTGTGTTTGTTGTGTTAATCAAAGTGGATGGCGCTTTCTTACCTTTTCCCCGAGAGGATGGAGTTCCTTTTAGCAGTGAGAAAAGTGAGGAGGGCACGGTCGGCCCTCCATTTCTGCAGCTTCCACCCCCACAGATTCAACCAGCCAGGGATCAAAAATATTTGGAAACAGAAATGGCATCAGTACTGAGCACATACTGACTTTTTCCCTAAGCAGTGTAACAACTACTTACATAGAATTTACATTTTAGTAGCTATTAGAAGTGATCCCCCTTATTGTAAGAGGGCCTGCATTGTGGGGCCACGAGTTAAGCCATGCATGGCGCCAGCATCCCATATCAGAGTGCCGGCTGGAGTCCCAGCTGCTCCTCTTCCAATCCAGCTCCCTGCTCAGGCACCTGGGAGGCAGCGGGTGATGGCCCTTGTACAGGGAGGATTGTGTAGGTTTTACACAGGTGCTACAGTATTTTATGGAAGGGATTCAAGCCTCCCCTGATGGTGGTGTTCCTGGTGTGGGGGTTTCCTGGAAGCTGGGCCCTGTGGATACCGACTGTGGCCAAGAAGCTCTGTTCTGTGGCTTAACCTTGAACGTGAGGGCTGGACCTGAGTGCTTCCTCTCGAGGAGGAGATGAAGCCACAAGCAGAGGGCAGAACTGAAGCCGAACGTTGAGGGAAGTTGTGCGTTAGAGAACGCGGCACGTCCCGCTCTGAATGCTGGGAAATGAAGCCGTGGAGTCACCACAGACATTGCTTTTCTTTCCTAGGCTGCTGGGAGACCTCACCTCCAGGTAAGCCTCTTCTCCTTCCTTCCTCCGCCCGATTCCAGGATATGGAAGACAGTGAAGCCGGGCTTCCCAAACAGTCCCTGAGAAAGCTGCTTTCTGAGCAGCCCGGCTCGGAGGCCGCGTGCTCAACCAGGCCTCTGCCTCCCGGCGCGCCCTGAAGCCTCGGCTGGCTGGCCTGAGCCTGGGCCGTTTCTTTGACACCAATGCTAGGCCTGCACTGGGCAGGGACACACACGCACATACACACGCAAAGCCAGAATCCTGGTACACTCCACGCAGCTCTCGCATGTGTATGTTAAAATACACATGATGTAAAATTTTACCGTTTGATTTATTTTAGAGTGCACTGTTCAGTGGCATTGAGCATGTCTATAATGTCACAGCCAGCGCCCCTCTCTAGTTCCAACCTCACACCCCTTAGATAGTCACTGTCATTCTCCCTTCCTGTAGCCCCTGGCGGCCCCTTGTCCTCCGTGTGTCTCCTCGGATCTGCACGCATAGATGGAGTCAAACAGTGACAGTGGCTCTCGTGGTCGGTCGCCCTTCTCAGCACAATGTCCGTGGCTCATCTGTGTCAGTGCCTCAGGCCTTCTCATGGCAGAGGACTGCTCCCTTGCCCACTCATCTGCTGACGGATGTCTGGGTTGCTTCTAGCTCTTGGCAATGGCGAATAGTGGTGGCTGCCTTTTAATCACACACGAAAGCAGCAAGTTAAGAAATGTTGAACTTGACCTGACGTACTTCTGCACCCCAGCTCTTACCATCCCCTTCCTCTCTTGGAACCCAGGGCACACCTTTTCTCCTAGAGCCCGTGTGCACTGGGTGGTGGTAAGCAGAGTGCACTGGCCGCGGTCAGCCCTGGGGAGGAGGCAGGACATCCTGGGGAGCAAGGAGCAGCCCTGGCTCTCACCCTCGCCCCACCTTCCCGTTCTGCCTGTCTCTGACTTTCCCTTCTGCTCGCCTACCTGAATTCCCTCCCCCCCACCTCCCAGCCCTTTCTGCGTTGTCCCAGAAACCAGTTTGGAAGTCAGTGGACTCTGCACCTCTGTGTTCTGCTAGTTGGCAAGACACTGCCCCGGGCACAGCCCACCGGCCTCATGTAGATTCCAAATGGCGCACGCCGGTGCACAGAGTACCCTTGAAAGCTGCCCTGGCTCCAGGACCTCGCCTCTGCTCACCCTCAAAGCCCTGTCGGCACAGTAATACACGAGAGCCTGGGAGCCTGAAAGCACCGGCGGCCTCAGCCGTGCCCCAGTGGCGTTTCTGGACCACGTTCCAGGGAATACGTTTAACATTCCTACTGTACCACTTCTTGATTTCGGTTCTGTTTTGTTTTTAATTCCAGTGGATTGTCTTTTAGTTTGGAGCCGAATCTCTGCAGCCACAGTGCTTTGCTGTGGGATTCACAGTTGTGTGTGTGTGTACACGTGTGCGTGCGTGCGCACATGTGTGCTTGTGTGTATTGTGTGAGTGCGTGCACACATGTGTGCTTGTGTGTGCACGCGTGTGTGTTCTCACTCACTTGCATTTCTCTTTTCTCCAGTGAAGTGGCCACAGAGGTGCCGTTCCGCCTCATGCACCCCCAGCCTGAGGACCCAGGTCAGTCATTCCACCCGGGATTCATTACTTCTTCCTTCCTAGTCTTTCCTGACCACGCCCCTGAGCGTGCTTGTGGCCAGGTGTCACCTGCAGGGTGACAGCCAGCCTGGACGGGACGGCTGCCCTGTTCTGCACCAGGTGGCTTGCCCACTGGCAGTGTGTGTGTGCAGGGCCAGGCAGCCTGGCTCTGGGAGGGGCCGATCGCATGAGGTTTTATTAGGAGTGATGGGAAGGCAGTTGCTCTGTTAGTCAAGAGTCCTGCTTTTAGGTTGGGAGATGTGGAAGATGATTTAGGTGACAAATCACTCTGGGTGCCCAAGGCTTTTGCATTTCATTTGGAAACAAAAGGCCTCATGCTTCATTTGCTAGCATCAACAGTTAGAAGACGAGAAGTGTTTTTGACAGCAGTGGTTGTGATGAGAACACAGAGCATACTAGGAGAGAGGGCCAAAGCACCAAGTTCATTTGGATTGAAAATTCATGGCTCCTGTGTGTCCGTGAAGTGAAGCAAAGGTTGTGCAACTCGGTGAACACAGCAAAATCTACCGCACCGTGTGCAACAGTGGGGGCACATTACAGTATGCGAATTAGAACTCAACAGAACTCTGGAGAAATGTAGACAAGGCAGTGGAAGCAGCATAGCTACTGGAGGTAGAAATCTCAAAATTCTGAGAAAAAGTCTCCTCCAGGTGTTCAGGCACCTTAGTGGCAGGAAGGAAAAGCAGCCTGCCCGAATCAGAACTCAGCTGGGTGAGGGCGGTGGTGCCGCCGGTTAAGCTGCACATCCCACACGGGAGTGTCTGGTCCCCATCCCAGCTCCTCTGCTTCCAAGCCAGCTTCCTGCTAATGCGGACCCGGGAGGTGGCAGGACTTGGACCTCTGCCACCCACATGGGTGATCCAGGTGGACTTCTGGCTCCTGGCTTTGGCCTGGTGCAGCCCTGGCTGTGGTGGAATTCGAGGAGTGAGCTGGTGGATGGGAGATACCTCTCTTTGCCTCTGCCTTTCAAATAAAAACTTTAAATTTAAAAAAAGAACTCTAAATAGCTAAATTTTTAAAAAGATTGATTTATTTATTTGAAAGAGTTACAGAGGAGAGGCAGAGAGAGAGAGAGAGAGAGAGAAGGAAAGGAAGAGAGAGAGAGAGAGAGAGAAGAAAAAAGAAAAGAAAAGAAAAGAAAAGAAAAGAAAAGAAAAGAAAAGAAAAAAGAAAAGAAAAGAAAGGAAAAGGAAAAAGCTAGCTAGCTTCCATTCGCTGTCTCACTTCTCAAATGGCTGCAATGGCTGGAGCTGGGCCAATCCGAAGCCAGGAGCCAGGAGCTTCTTCTGGGTCTCTCACATGGGTGCAGGGAGCCAAGCACTTGGGCATCTTCCACTGCTTTCCTAAGAGCATTAGCAGGGAGCTGGATCGGAAGTGGGGCAGCTGGGTCCCATGTAGGATGCCGGCACCACAGGCTGTGGCTTTACCCGGTACACCACAGCGCTGGCCCCAATAACTAAATATTTTTAAATAGAGACTATTTTAAGCACCAGTGATATAAGTAAGTAGGGTCTGTTTTTCTTGTATTTTATAAAAGCCTTTTCTAATGAAATGACATTTAAATATGAGAATGAACGCCTCTTTTTATTTTAGTTTTTGTCTCAAAATATTTTGTGTTAAAGCATCTTTTCCAAATAATTTAGATTCAAACCCTCAGAACACTTTGCCAAAACCTCCCCTTGGGGAAAAAATACAGTCCAGCCATACGTTCTTAATTCAGTAAAGTACCCTTTTTTTAAACTGTGAGCTGAGGGTGCTTTCTGGTTCTTCTCAAGGACATTAGAAAGGCAGTCACCGGGGCAGGTGTCATAGCTGGTGTTGGGTTGTTTCCGGGAAGTTTGAGCAGACTTCACAGCCTCGTTTGGGAGTAGTGGAGTTATTCTTCTTCCCCATACGTTTTCATGTTCCAGTCATTACGTCCCTTATGGCGAGCGCCTCACCATGCTGAGGGGAAACAGTGTGAAATTTCAGGCAGCAAGAATTAGGACAAATCGCCCGATGGTCGCGACGTGCTGGTTTCCAGAGATTTCTGAGCCACCCAGTCTCAGAGCTCCTCTCTTCCCTGCCTGGCTCCTGGCGCTCGACAGTGTGGGCAGGAGAAAGCCTGAGCTGGAGTGAAGGCCCAGGGCCCAGGCGCTGGGCGGCTGATGAACGCTGTGGACGCGCTGCCCGGTCTGCACGGCCCCATCGAGAGCACCTCTGTGGGGCCCAGGGGGCCCTATGGTCCCTCCCCGTGTCTGCCTCTTCAAGGCCGAGGGTGCACTTGCCCTGCTAAGCACACCAGCATTCCTTGCCAGGGGACGTGTGGTCGAATCATCCTCTCTAGAGCCTGGTGGCCCTCCCAGACGCTCGCTGTCCGCTGCTGGCTTCTGGGTGGACCTGAGACACAAGAGCTGCGGCTCACCATCCCACCCCTGCTGCGCTCCCCCCAAACCTCGGTAGTCCTTTAACCACACCAGTACTTTATCAGCTGGGCCGAACACTCGAAGTGCTCGAACTGCTCCACGTGATGTATGGGCAGGAAACGTAAGCCAACCCCAAAAGATCAATGCACGTGCAGCAACTAAAAACCGAGGGGCTGTGGTGGTCCCCAGGCTTCAGGGCACACGGCGCCCCTGGGGGCACTGGTACACGTCCAGTGCTAGACCTGACGGGGGTATGCGGTGACCTGATGGGGTCCTGAGGACCCCTGGGCACAAGTCCTTTGACGACAGGCGCGTCCCCCTTGGGGGTGAGTTTCTAGAGGTGAGATGGTCTGGGCTGGGGCATCTGGTACAGGGTGTGGTGCAGGGACAAAGTGCTCTGGGTGGGAAAGACAAGTGCAGTGATGGTGAACTCCAGGCCTCACACCTCAGCTACCTAAAGATGGCAACGCCGTGCTGCAGCATTGACGCTAACTGCTCGCTCGCTCTCTCTGTCTCTCTCTGCCTCCCGGCCCCGGGCCTACAGCCAAGGAAAGGTAAGCCACTGCAGTGCCGCCCTGAGATCCGAGTCTGTGACTTTTCCCTCCCGTGCAAGCCCCTCTGAGTCCCTCTGGCCCCGGGCACGTCCCGAGGGCACGCATAGTCGCCCTGGGTGTGTCTGCTCACCCTGTGGGTGCTCGGGTTTACTCTCGTTTCTGTCTGATGAGGAAAGCCGTGTGGCTCCCTGTTCCACCTCGAGGAAAGCCTTGACTGGTGCAAAAGCAAACAAGAAAAGATCAAAGATCTCTTCTTGCTCCAGATTTCGCCTTCAGCATCAAAGAGCGAGCCGTGATCAAAATGCTGTCCCCCTTCTCTTAGTTTTCAGGATGAAAACCTGGTTTTCGAGGAGTTTGCTCGCCAAAATCTGAAAGACACAGGAGAAACCGAGGAAGGAAAGAAGCAAGAGGCCGTCAACGATGACTGACCGCGCCGGCTCCGGACGTCCCGGACGCCTGTCGTCCCGGTGCCGGTGCCGGGAGCCCTGTAGAGTTCCTCCTCCTGAATGCCAGGCAGGAGCCGTCCTCCCAGAAATAAAGTGTGTCTGTCCTCCCCTGCTGTGCGGCGGGCTGGCTGGCTTGCTGGGGACACAGAGCTGGTGCCGTATAGGGGCTGCCTTTAGGGTCCCTGGAGTGTGTGTGTGGGGAGGCAAGGGGCAGCATCTAGAAGGGAGGCCAGCCCCCCACCCAGATGGCCAGCGCTGGCCCCTCAAGGCCAGAAGGTACCGCGTGTCCACCTGGTGTGGCCTTGGTGTGGCTGCGGCTTCCCTGGGGGTCCTGGTCTAAGCTGTCTCTCTGGAAAGGCATAGTAGGGGAGGCAGTTTTCTAATTCCCTGAGCAGACCAAGGTGCAGGGCTCCAAGAAGACCCCCGGAGGGGAAGGGGCCCAGAATAGGCGTGGGCAGAAATGCTCTGTTGTTCCCCTTTGGGGCCCACGTCCCTGTTTTAGCTCTGTGTCCTCACCGGAGTTTCCGTTGGATTTGGGCGACAAGATTGGCCTTGGTGACCTCCCTGTGGGGAGAAGGGTGAGAGGCCCTGGGGCAGTCCGACAGCCGAGCTGAAGGAGGAACAGACCTGCTGGGCCAGGGCTGGGCAGAGACCAAAGAAGCCGCAGGGCCGCAGCCGGGTGCGCAGGGGCTGGCTCTCTGGAGGGCGTTCCTGGGACTCCGCAGCAAACGCCGCAGTCATGGTTCCCGGAAGGAGAATTCCACGGCTTAGCTCGGCCTGGTGGCTCAACACCCTGTGGGCGAGCCCAGCCTGGGCATGTGTTGTCCCAAAGGGGTTCATTCTTTGGGCTTCCTGGTTAGGGTGCTTCCCTGAAACTCGTAGGGAAGGGAGAAGGGTGGAGCTGACATGGGCTGGTGGGGGGAGGGGATAATGGAGGTGGGCTCCTTCCTGGTTGGTGTCCCTACTCTGATGGCAGAGATGGCCTGGGGGACGTGCAGGCTCTGGCCCTTGCTTTAGGGGAGTGGGGTAAAAGCAGGTTGGCGATTTTGCCATGGTTCAGCCCTTTCACAGGAGGTATGGGGGTCACGGGTCAGGGGTCCCCTTGGGATCAGCCTTCTGGGTCCAAGAGCAGGCTCAGCAGAGGGCTGGATGGGTGTGGGCTCCACACATGCCAAGGCTTCTACACTGGGGGTGCCTGCCAGGATCCCAGGCTGGTTCGCGTCCTCGGATGTAGACAAGAGGTTCACCTGGGACCATGGATGGGCCCCGCTGTGGAGAAACAGGATGTGGGCCTGGTCTTAGCAGGGCTGGAACGTGGATGGTAAAGGGCTGGACACGGTCTCATTCTTCTCTCTCCTGCTCAGGGGACAGCATGTTGCCACTGCAGCCCGTGTCCAGCTCTCAGGACACCCAGAGGGACGATCAGGGTGGCACGGTCCTCAGGGGACTCCCAAGTCTGTCCCCTGCATGCCGAGCCTTCCCCCTGCCCCTGGCCACAGGCACACACAGGCCTGATGTGTTCAGCTCCTGCTGGAGCTCGGGGTCCTGCCCTGCAGTGCCTGGTGAGAGGACCAGCCCACTGGTTTCTGCATTGCTTGACCCCAGGACATCCTAAGTCAGGGTGGACGTTAATAGACCCGACCTTTGCAACTCTGTGGGTGGGACAGCCGGAGGGGCGGGCTGGAAGGCCAATCCCTGGAGACCAGAGATCAGACCAACCCTTGCCCTGCAAGTTATTTTGGTGACCAAGCGTCCTGAAACAGACCCGCAGGTGCCGGCTTGTTTATGGCCTGCAGCTGGCCACCCTGGGGAGGGGGTGGGGGCAGGAAGTGAGCAGCCAGCTGCCCCGGGCGGGGTGGGGAAGCTTGGCTTGGCTCAGCTCAGCTCAGCCTGCACGTTTGCCCGTGGCTTCTGCCGGTGCACAGCAGATAGGAAATTTGAGTGCACGCTGCACAGGAAGTTGGGGGGGGGTTCAGAGCAGGTGGAGGGCCAAAAATGGGGTACAAAGGAGCTGAAGGTGCTACATGGAGAAAATGGGGCCCTAGAACTTCAGACAAAGTTTGTCAACCAAAGGGTGGGAGAAGCAGGAATTCTGGCCTTGTTAGGTTGGTACTGTCATCCCCATGTGTCAGTTGTAGATCAGAGGGGTTAGGTCCCTGATGCAAGGTCACACGGCCAGTGAGAACAGAGGCTTGATCTCTGGTTTCCCCAGGTCTAGAACCAGACCTTTGTTCAGTGCATGGTGTGGGATGGCGGCAGGAAGGTTTGAGGCTCACAGCGGGGAGATGAGCGTTAGTGATCAGGGATGGTGCAGCAGGTGACGCCGGCATCCCACATGGGCACCTGTTTGTGTCCTGGCTGCTCCACTTCTGATCCAGCTCCCTCTAATGTGCCTGGGAAAGCAGGGGAGATGACCCAAGTCCTTGAGCTGCTGCACACACACAAGAGACCCCGAAGAAGCTCCTGGTTCCCGTCTTCAGCTTGGCTCAGCCGTGGCCGTTGCGGCCATTTGGGAAGTGAACCAGAAGATGGAAGGTGTCTCTCTCTCTCTCTCTCTCTCTCTCTCTTTATTTATTTATTGACAGGCAGAGTGGATAGTGAGAGAGAGAGACAGAGAGAAAGGTCTTCCTTTTGCCGTTGGTTCACCCTCCAATGGCCGCCGTGGCTGGCGCGCTGCGGCCGGTGCATGGCGCTGATCTGAAGCCAGGAGCCAAGGGCTTATCCTGGTCTCCCATGCGGGTGCAGGGCCCAAGCACTTGGGCCATCCTCCACTGCACTCCCGGGCCACAGCAGAGAGCTGGCCTGGAAGAGGGGCAACCGGGACAGAATCCGGCCCCCCGACTGGGACTAGAACCTGGGGTGCCGGCATCGCAGGCGGAGGATTATCCTAGTGAGCCATGGCACCGGCCTTCTCTCTCTCTTACTCCGCCTTTCAAATAATAGTAACAAAAAAGGGCTGCCCATAAGTTTCTTTCTCAGTTGAAATTTTTATTGTGATAATCGCACATTCATAGGCAGGTGTTGAGAAATAAGACAGGAAGATCCCAGGTACCCTTCCCCCACTGGTAACAGCTGGCAAATGGAGCCCAGCACAGACCCTCTACCGGGAACTGCCAGTGCTGCACGCCCCCTCCCCCCGCTGATTTAGATCCCTCCAGCTTCACTGATACCCGCGTGTGTATTTAGTTCTTTACAGTTTCATCCTGTGTGGCGTTAACGTCTTTCCGGAGTGTCTGTTTTCCTACTTTTCAGCGTGTTTCATGGTTTCCCCTCCCAGTTTAATTTCCAGACCCCAGCAATTTTCTGCAGGGGTCCCTGGGGGTGGTCTAGGCGGGGCTGGGAGTTGGGCATGAAGGGAAATGTGTGGCGTGTTTTTTGGTTGTCACAGCGCCCAGGGAAGCTATGTCACACGCAGTGCCGAAATGTCTCGCTCTAAACGTCAATCACAGCCCTAGTTCAGGGCAACATCGGCTTATTCCACGTTTGCAAGTGTGCGGTTGCTACAGTCTAGCGGGAGGTGCTCCGTCGCTGGCGTGTCAGAGAAGGATTAGGGTAGACTTGAAGGGTGTCAGTGCTGCTACCTTGACGTGCCCTCGAGGCGGGCCAGGCTCAGGGAGCAGCTCGTCCTGACCGATGATTCACTGCATTCACTGCGTGAGTCACTCCGCAGAGAGGCGCCCGGGGGGATGTGCTCTTCCCGGGGAGCGCTCTGGGGGAGTCGGGGCTCAGCCCGGCTGAGATCTCCAAGGGAACAGAGCTGTGGTTCACCGGGCAACGAAAAGGCTTCTTCACGCGTCAGAGAGAATTTATGCGAGTTATCTTTCCCTGCCTTAAGAACATGGTATAATTCTTACCAAGCCGGATGCTCTCCTTTTAAACGCATCTCTTATTCGGAATGGCTTTAGTACAGAAAACTTGGCAAAGATGGCACAGGGAGATCCCCACCCCCAGTCCTCCCGTTATCAACATCTTATGTTGGTAGGGTGCCCTGGGCATGCAGAATGAGCCCGTAACTGAGACTTATTTCTAAACGAAAGCCCACGTCTATTTAGTTTGTAACCTCATGTCCTTTTTCTCTTCCAGTTAGTTAGGGGACAGTTAGTCCCCTCATGTCCTCTTGGGCTCCTTTTGGCTGTACCAATCTCTACCCCTTTTCATAACAGCAAATACCCTCATCCGGTCCCAGCTTCTACCTCCCAACTGTCACTAGCACCCCCTGGCTTTTTGCCTCTACGTTGACGGACTCTGGAGCCCGGATCACCCCGTGGGCTCCACAGGTAGAGGCAACAGCTCACCCAGGCACCTTGCACCGGATGCCTCTTCTTCATTTCTAGGACAGCGCTTGATCAGGGATGCTGCAATCCCCCAGGAAGCCCTTACCTGGGAGGCAGCTGCCCTTGCCTCCCCCCACCCCCCGCCTGCGCTCTACTCTTGATGGGAGCTCTGGTCCATTTCCTTCCCTCCTCTATGGTGTCTCCCGTCCGTCGCTTCCACCTCCTTTGTTCAAATCATATTGCCTGGATAGATACCATCCCCACCCGCATTTAAAAAAATGTATTTGAGTTACGAGAGAGAAAGAAAGAGAGAGAGAGAGAGAGGAGATCATTCTGTTTAATGTCCTTCCCAGAAGCCCTCTAAGTTACCCCCCCCACCTTCATGCCCACCTTGCCATCTCCAAATCCCCTGTCATCTCGCAACCCACTTAGTGGGTTTATTTTTATTTATTTATTTTATGTGAAAAGTAAAGTGACACAGGGAGAAGGAGAGTCAGAACTTCTGTCAGCTCGTTCGCTCCCCAGAAGGCTCAGTGGCCAGGCCTGGACCAGGCTGGAGTCAGGAGCCTGGAACCCATCCAGGTCTCCCACGTGGGTGCAGGGCCCAAGCACTTGAGCCGTCTTCTGCTGCTTTCCCAGGCACATTAGCAGGGAGCTGGAGGGGAAGCGGAGCACCAGGAGTCTCAAACCAGTGCTCTGATACAGGATGCCAACGACCTGGGCGACGGCGTAACCTGCTGTACCACAACGCCGGCCTCTGACATCATCAGCTTTTTTTTTTTTTTTTTTTAAGATTTTATTTATTTGAAGGGCAGAGCTACAGAGAGTCAGAGAGAGAGAGAGA